GGTGTTGCGGGGGGGGGGGGGGGGGGGGGGTGTTCTATGCACTTTATATTGTTAGCAGAAATAGTATTTGCACGAGTTAAAAATATAAGAGGCGCAGAGGAGGGATACCTTCACATGTTCCCAGGTGTCTGCAATGGTTAGAGGACCATGTTCCTTGAGGATGTCAAAGACCACCCTTGTGATAGTTTGTGTTTGTTCTGGTGGAGTCTTTAGTTCTATTGGTTTCATCTTTGGCTTTGGTTTCTTTGCAATATACCTGATTGCAGTAGCTAACATGACGGTCCTTATTCTGATCTTCAGTGGGACGTCCCTTCTCAGCTGCAGGTTCAACATGTAAACTTAATTTCACCCAAAGAGAAGACTATATTTTAACAACCCGCTAAATTTTAGCTATGGCTTCATATAAGTCATATTTGTAACCTGAAACCTAGTACGCAGTGAATCAATTGGGGCTTGAAGTCAGTACTTGAATAACATCAATTTAATTTCAATAGAAGTTTTCCAGTTCGGAATCTAATGCCTCAACTCCATGCCACCAGAGACTTAACAAAAAGGCAATCATTTTAAGCCTGAAGGCATTCCCACATTTTTAAGAAAGCACTTTCAGAATATAATCAAACTTATAAATTGTTTTACCACTGAAAAAAATAATAATAAATAAAATCCCAAAGAGACATTTCGTCGAACAGATTTAGCATACTCTTGTTTCACACGTGGCCTAGACATTCAATCGAAACTGCATCAAGCGTGTATTGCGTGATGTGTGTGTGAGAGAGGGCGAGAAAGCTACCTTAGGATTGAAGAGTATATGATTAAATGGATTTCCCACACAATTTCAGTCGGAAGGAAAGGAGAAATCGATACCAGAGAAGGAAAAGGAAAAGGGAAAGGGAAAGGGAAAGTGAAACTGAGTAGAATCGGCCTACAAATATCGGAAATTAGCGCAAAAATGGCGCTAAATATTATCAAAATCAAATATTTTTACAGCACTCTGTCAACTTAATCAAATACCAGGGAGGCTGCTGCTCGCTATTGTTCGTCTTGTATATAAGCTCACCACTGTTCACTATGTTTAAACCCCATTATTTTTCATTATATTAAACTAAATTTTTCTCACTCTTACTTTTAACCACATAATCTTCAATAAAATAATATTACACGTAAATCAAAAACTTTTTAACTACTCATTTTTTAAAAAAACACTATTCATCTCATTATAATCTACAAATAATGGGGCTCAAACGGGGGATAAAATTGAGCTATATGCGGATTTTAAAGGCGAACAAAATAGTTTTGGGGTTAACTTTACTAAAACTTTATTTTAGCCCAAACTCGACTAATACAGCCCAATTTTAGACCAAGGGGCCTGAATTAAGTATGTTTATGTACTCACCAAGTATCTATGATAGTGTGCATTATGTAGAAGAAGAAGAAGATTCTCATCATCTTCTTTCTGTATATGTATTAGTACTTCGGACATTAAAAAGTTTACTTGCGTATTTGATCAAGATATGACTAATTACATTTCATATTTATAAAATCAGATTTCAGCTAATTTATTAAGTTTAATAAAACTTGACGTTACTTGTCCCTTAATGTATTATGATTCACTAACTTTATTTGTCGATAAATATTTTGCTCGTTTACACTAAATTTTCATTGCAGTTTTTAACCTCAGATTTCTTCTTAAATAGGGTTAGACTAAGTCGAATTGATTTCAATTATATGCTTTCAAAGTGACTAAGAGATGTCTTATTGTGCATGTGAACTAGAGATACAACTCAATTTTGAAGGGTGAAGAGTGAAGAGTGGCCGTGGAGAGGGGTATTACTCGTCCAAACAAGAAGATGTATAATTCTGACTGCACAGGAAGTAATATATGATGGTTTTACTCTTTCGGAAGCTGATTCTCGTTTGGTGTACTTTTTACTTTTTGAGTCTGTTTACTTGTCAATATATTTAATGAAAAATGTCATTTTTTCACTAAAATTTCTACTTTTATTCTATTTGATTGATATTCTTTATGAAAAATATTTTGCTATTTTTGGTCAAGTAATCATGTTTTCTTTGTAAACCAAGAAAATATTTTCTTTAGGGGATTAGGTTTCCCTTTTATGTACTACCTCTCTTTCCTATCTAACTACCAATAAAAAATGAACGAGTATAATATTTTTTAGATTGAAAACAAAATCAATCAATCACATTTAATTGACAATTTTCATTCAAATAATTTTTAGGCAATTCAATGTCTAAAATTTGCCTAAAAATTATTTTCTTTCCATATAAATTTCATACTTGCAATCAAACACGCTCTTAAATACTTTTTACTGTAAAAGCTCCTCTAATTATCAAAATTACTTTATAAATGTTGGGCTGTGATGCCATAATTAATTGGTGGTCCAGCCCACTTTGGGCTATGATGATAAATGATTGGAAATTCACATACTACAAGCTCTTGCCCAATAGCGCATTAATTTGGACTCCTTATAACCCGGCCCAAACTTTGGTAATACACGTGTTTCGCTCTGGTCCATTAGATTTCCTAACCCTATGATCTACGGTGATGACCTTGCCTATATATATATATATATATATATATATATATCCTTGGTCTGAGACTTTGGCCCTAATTTTTTCTCTTATTGTCTCGCCTCTTTGTGTGCTTCTTTGAGAAGCTTTTAAGTCTCTCTCATTCGAGTGACTGTGTGTCTCCCCTTTCATCTTCTTCATGAAACTTGTTCTTTGGCCATAAAACTTTTGATTTTCTGGCAGATTTGTGAGTGAGGAATCTTGACGATCCTTCCTTTTCGAACTGGAAAGGGTTTTATGTTGGGTTGGGAGTTTTTGGAACTGTTGAAGTGACTGCCTCTACATTCCTTAGTCTAAGGTTGGTTCTTGTGAGATTCAACCTTTTGTACAGACGGGTACAAGGAGTAATCTTAGCCCAATCGATGAGAACTTGATGCTTTTGTGTGAAATCTTGATTCTGCGATTTTGAGTTGAACTTAGGTCATTATTGTAACAGTGGTATCGGAACCTTAAGAGGTCGGTCGAGTCCCCATCTCCGTTTTATGGTCGTGGAAAATTAATTTTCAAGGTTGAATTTTGAGAGATCCAATAGTTTGCTGAAACCTTAGATCTGATTGTCTACAGGGTTTTTTTTTTTTTATATTTCGTTTATGATTTTATTTCAGTTTCTTGATAACTAACATATGTCGTTGGTGTTTCTGCAGAGATAAACCGATTTTTCTCGAACTTTTCTTAAAGAATTGGTTTTGAGAATTTGGGTCCACTTGTGATTTTGCGATCTGCCGGTCGATTTCTTTAACCCTATTGTAGTATATGTTATACTAGTTATGTGTTCTTGAATTTGGTGAATCTGGTATATATGTTTCCCATTTTTCAAGTATACTCGATGCTATTGATCTTGGTGATTAATTCATGATCCGTGCATTCTGCCCATTGATTAATCTTTGTGATTAATTTCAAATTCATGTTGTCTACCTATTGTAAAGTCTTGGCGATTGTTTACTGAATTTGTCTTTAATACTGTACACTTCGCACTGTACTATTGTGGACTTGGGTTGAGCCTTGACCTGAGGTCTTTGAGCCTCACCGAATCCTGGTAAACTGAGGACACATCACTACATTCTGAAGTGGTTTATTATTATTCTCTGATTGGTTACTATTTTTGTTACTATTCACTGTGTTGTATTCTTTTGAGATTTCATATAGTGTGTGATAATTTATGTTGTCATATATTCTGTGAAATATCTTTTTGGAACTTCTGGCTGAACTTTAACCCTCAAGGATTTTCTTGTGTTGATTAAAAACTTCAAATGAAAAACGGCAACGTTTGAACTTGGGGTTTTTAATAGAAAAGGGGATTTCCCCATTTGGCAGCAAAAAATGACAGGGGTTCTTGTTGAACAGAAAGTATCTAAAGCTATAACTGGTGAATATCCTGCTATTATGACTGATGAACAAAAAACTGAATTTGATGAACTCACCTACACTTCCATTATTCTTCACCTGTCTGATCCAGTATTAAGAAAGGTTGGAAAATTGAATATTACAAAAGCCTTATAGGATAAATTTGAGGAATTTTATTTGGTAAAATCATTATCTAATAAATTATTTCTGTTGGAAAAAAATTTCAGCTTCAAAATTGACATGTCCCGAGACTTAGATGATAATCTTGATACTTTTAATAAGCTGGTACAAGATATAACTAATGTTGGGGATAAAGTATCTGAAGAATATAAGACCGTAATTTTGTTAATTTCCATACCTGATGTGTATAGAGATGTTAAGACAGCCATTAAGTATGGCAGGGAGTCTTTAACACTTGACATAGTGATTAATGCCTTAAGAAGCAAAGATTTGGAAGTTAAATATGATAGACATGGCAAGGAGAGTGAGAACTCGTTTGTGAGAGGTAGATCACTGACTAGACATAGTAATAATCAGGGTAACCAAAATAATCAGTGGAATAATACCTCTAAGAAGAAGAGGAAGGGTAGACAAAGGTCAAAATCTAGAAATGGACCTAGAAAATGTTACGGATGTGGTAAAACAGGTCATTACATTAAAGACCGTTTTAAAAAGAAAAATGAGCAAAAATAGATTAAAGTTGATGAAGGGAACATAGTTGAGCCTCTAGGTGAGAATACTGTTGATGTCTATGTTGTGCCTGAGTCCACATCTGATTTGAATTCTGCAAATTATGCAGATAATTCAAGTCAGAATGTTGAATGGATCTTAGATTCAGGTTGTACCTTTCATATAACCTCTATAAAGAATTGGTTGCTGGACTTCAAGGACTTAGATGGAGGTGAGGTGGTTATGGGTAACAATGTAGCCTGTAAAGTGTTGGGGATAGGTAGTGTGACTTTAAAATTTGATAATGGGTACACCTTTACCTCGGAAAGGGTGAGGTATGTACCGGATTTAAACAAAAATCTGATTTCAGTTGGAAACTTAGATGACATAGGTCTCCAAGGAAAAGTTGGAGATGGTTTCTTGAAAATAGTTAAGGGTTCATTAGTTATTTTCAAGGGTATTAAAAGAAATGAGATTTATGTCACTAAGGCAAATGTGTTGAGTCACACTACTGAATCCTCTATGGCTGAAAGTGATGCAACATTGAAATCGCATAATAGGTTAGCCCATGTGAGTGAGAAAGGTTTACACATTTTAAGTAAAAAGGGAGCCTTTGGTAGTGATGAAATTTCTAAAATTTCCTTTGTGAATATTGTACCTTAGGCAAATAGCATAGACTTCACTTTAGTATAGGTAAGCATAAGACCACATCTATCCTTGAGTATATACATTCTGATTTGTGGGGTCCATCATCCACCACCTCTCAAGGTGGAAATAGGTATTTTTTTTTATCCTTAATTGATGATTTTTCAAGAAAAGTATGGGTATTTCTTTTGAAACAAACATCAGACTCTTTTGAAAAATTTAAAACTTGGAAAACTTTGATTGAAAATCAGATGAGTAAAAAAATTAAAATTCTAAGAATAGATAATAGATTATAATTTTGTAATGCTGATTTTGAAAAATTGTGTATAGATGACGACATTCTGAGACATAAAACAGTATCATCTACTCCACAACAAAATGGTATAACTGAGAGAATGAATATAACAATCATTGATAAGGTTAGGTGTATGATGTCAGTTCAGGTGTCCTTAAAGTATTATGGGGGAAGACTGTTATGACAGCAGCTTATGTCATAAATAGGACCCCAACTAGTACATTAGATGATAGAATACCTGAGGAAGTGTGGACAGATAGGTTGGCTAACTATACACACTTAAAAACCTTTGGTTGTGCAGCATATTCACACTAAAGTGTAGGAAAATGATAAGTGTATTTTATACACTTATGTAGATCTAAAAATAAGACTTTTAATATTTCTTTAAAGCAAATATAGCCTAGTTTATTGTATAATTCATTTATTAGGTAAAACTCGATGGTTGGAAGTTAAATTGAAAGAAAGAAGCAAAAAACGATGAAAAATGGTGAGGTACAAAGGTGAGGACCAAATTGCAAATATCCAATGGTTGGATTGGACCATAAGAGATATTTTAAAAATTGATGGAAATCAATTGGATGCAATTAGAAGTCAAAAAGGAAGGGAATATCGTCAGAACATTACCATAAATCGACTTTCAATTACATGATATATCTTCCAGATTTTTAGTCAAGGATTGCGACCAATTTTTGGCATAGTAAACGTCTGAATTGGAAAATATCTATTTCTAGGAGAATTGTAGCACTTTTAGTTATCTTTCCAACTCATTTTGAGTCAACTCAATTGAATAACAAGAGACGATATTATGATGAAAATACTGACTATTGTGCAGAGATAAAAAATTCGTGCGCGAGTGTAACTTTCCTTATTCGATTGGAACTCTTTTGGAAGCCAATTTGGGTGTGATTTTTCACCAATTTTCAACCCCTACAAATATAGAACAGGAGAATACATGAACGGGGCTCTCATACATATCTCATATACATAATATACTCCAATATTCATCAATTATTATCATCAAATGAGGAGAATTCATTGTTTTTGTAAGAGAATTGAAGAGGACTTGCAAAAATTCAATCAAATAAAGATTCAAACTTGGTATTGGACAAAGAAGGGAGAGCGCAATTGAAGATTCATTAAGAAATCATTGAAGAGATTCAATATTTAAAAATTTATCTTCATCTTTTCAATTTACCAAAAATTCGGGTTATGTCTTTCCATTTATATATGATTTCTTGTAATTTCAATATGTTAGACTAGTTTTATATATTGTTAGGATGAGATGAACCCTTGTTATGATATTTGTAGCTTTTAATTAATTATGTTGACTTTAGTTTGATTTTATTTGTGGATGTTTATCATCGTTTTTATACTTCTTTTTAATTGTACCAATTGAATTATTAATGGATTTATTGTTATCAATAGAGACAATAGGATTTTAGCACAATATAATAAACATTGTAAAATTTGATAAGGATAGAGATATACCTCTATATTTTATGTGGTTTCAATAGGTGTTCTAACACTTATTAATGTATTTATCATGTTTGCATCTTTCATCGAGAGATAGGAGGATTATATCAGAGGAATATATTGATCGTTATCGAGAGAGGCTTTCAATTAAATTAGGAACATTGACCGACATGAATGATTTCAAATTGTCAATTTAATTGTTACACTAAAAATGGAATAACAATGGAGATTCTACATTTTAGCAATATCTCTTGCAAATTTGATAAATTTTCTTACATTGCTTTTAGGTTAGTTGATAAATTTAATAGTTTTTAATTACAACTTGATTTTGCTATTTGATAAGGGTGGTGTTAGCTTTAACTTGATCAAACATATAGTCTTGGTAGGTTCGACACTCTACACACCACTTTATTACTTGTTCACGATCTCGTTCACTTGCGGGTAATCAAATTATCAAGTTTTTGGCACCCTTGTCGTGGACTATTGTTTTTGACTAGTTTTAGTTAATTTTAGTTTTAATCTGAATTTTAATTTTTTTGTTTAGTTTAATATATTAGAAAAATCTTATAGTATTTCTTACTTTCTTTTTCAGGACTTTGTATGCGAAGTTCGAGAACTGGTGATCTTGGTCAATTTGACCTAGAAATCGAATGAACATTCAACTTTCGAAGAAGATAACAGCTTGAAACACACCAAAAACAAAAAGAAGAAGACATGGGAAACGAAAATCCAAATCAAACAGTCATCGGGGCTAATTTGGGAGTAGCACAACTGAATATCACTGCTGTGAATGAAAATGCAAGGTTCATGGGAGAGTATATGGTTCCACTGATAGTGGAAAGCCAGTCCAGTATCGTATATCCGGCGTTTGGTTAGGCAAACTTTCACTTGAGGACATATGTCATCAACATGTTCCAAAATGTGCTACAATTTTTTGGGAAAGCTACAGAGAATCCCAATGCTCATCTATCAAGATTTCTGGACATGTGTGCAACAATTAAGTATCCGGAGGTTTCGAGCGAATTAATTAGACTAAGGCTCTTCCCATACATATTGAGGGATTCAGCAAGGGAATGATTAGACATTTGCCCATCACAAAACATCACAACATGGAACCAATTGAGTTAGAAATTTCTTAGCAAATATTTCCCACCGAAAAGGATTGCAAAGCTAAGGGACGAGATTACTGCTTTTCAGCAAATGGACTCAGAATACTATTCAGGGGCTTGGGAACGATACAAGGGTTTACTTCACCAATGCCCACAACACGAATTGCAGAAGTGGCTTCAAGTGCAATATTTTTACATTACTTTGAACCCGATTAGTAGGGCTAATGTAGACTCTGCGTGCGATGGTTCTATCACAAAAAGAACCGCAGACCAGGTCTACCAAATCATGGAGGATTTGGCATTCACCAGTGCACTTTGGCCTACTGAAAGAACGAGTGGAAAGAAAGCTGCTGGGATCTTTGAAGTTGATTCTTTAACAACACTTTCAGCACAATTGACATCATTGGCACAAAAGGTAGATCAGACGAGTGTAGCCCAAACAGTGGGATCGAAATGTAAACATTGTGGAGGAAACCACGAGAGTGTTGATTGTAACGTAGGATCTCCTTTTGCTCAGATAGTAGAAGACGTGAACTACACTTAGAATTTTCAAAGGCAGCAACACAATCCAATTCTTAACACATATTACCTAGGTTGGAGAAATCACCCTGGTTTTCAGTGGAGCAACAATCAGGGAACTCAGATTGCGCCACAGCAAACTGCACCGCCAGGTTTTTAGCAGGCAGAAAATAAGTCTTCATTGGAAGATATTGTGACTAAGTTGGTGGAGATCTCTACTCAACATATGTAAAGAACAGACAAGACTTTACGAATTCATGGAGCTGCCATCAAGAATTTGGAAAACCAGATAGGGCAAATAGCAAAAGCACTCTTAGAAAGACAACAAGAAGCATTGCCAAGCAACACTAAGATAAATCCTATGCAGTAGGTAATGACAGTAAAAGTTGTAGAGAATGAGGAGGTTGGGGTAATTACTACACGCAGTGGGATTCAACTTCCAGAAATCACAATCAAAAGACGGGAAAAAGTAAATGAAAAAATACCTTCCATAGATGAGGAGCAAGTGGATAAATCTGAACAGCTAGATAAAGTAGTTTTATATCACGAGCTAGGAAATCTACAGGTCAAGGCAACCTTTCCTATTAAACCTTATGTACCTCCGGTCCCATTTCCGCAGAGATTACAAAAGAGGAAGTTGAAAGATCAATTTCCAAGGTTCTTGGACATCTTTAAGAAGCTTCATGTCAATATCCCATTGATTGAAGTTTTATCTCAAATACCAAACTATGCAAAATTTTTGAAGGAGATCCTATCGAAAAAGAGAAAACTTACAGATTTTGAGACCGTCAAGTTAAATGAAGAGTGTAGTGCCATCTTATAGAACAAATTACCTCCTAAACTACAAGATCTAGGGAGTCTCAAAATACCTTGCTCAATAAGAAAAGATTTGAATTTTAATTGCTTATGTGATTCAGGAGCAAGTATAAACTTAATGCCTTTCGCTGTATGCAGGAAATTAGGATTGGAAGAGCTAAATGATACATCAATCTCCCTTCAATTGGCAGACAGATCAATTAAATACCCACAAGAAGTGGTTGAGAACGTGCTCATTAAAGTGGGCAACTTCATATTTTCCATTGATTTTGTTGTCCTAGATATAGAGGAGCCATGGAATGCAGCGTTACTTATTTTGGGCAGATCCGTTCTATCAACAAGCTGAGCTATCATGGACTTTGAAAGTAGCGAATTGACATTGAGGGCAGAAGATAAGCAATAGAAGTTCAAGATCTACAACACTATCGAGAATTCATTACATGAAGAGATCAGCAAAAAGACTAAGGAAGAGTGCATGTATATTGCTACAAAGGTGCAACAAGGCTCGAGAAAAATGGAGCCTAAACATCTAGTGAGCATTGTACGAGAGAAGAATGGAGAGTTCAAGGTTTGGAGGGCAAAACGAGGATGCAAGTTCAAAAATTCTAAGGAGTGCAAAAGCTCAAAACACCTATTTAAGCCACCATTATCAATTCATCCGTACAGTCTAGCTAAATACTATAAATTAAGCACTTATTTGGAGGCAACCCAATCTTCCAACTCTTTTATTTATTTTGCTTTCTGCATCGCATAGCATATATATTTGTTTTGATTACTAGGTTGCATTAGATTTAGGCACTTTTTCATTTGTAGGGTATCACCATCCTTAATACTCCCGTTAGGCCATTGAATTTATTGTTGGTATTTTGATTGTTTGGGCAAAGTAACACATATTCTAGATTACTTGATTTTTAATGTTTGATTTGACTGCTATGTGCAGGGACATGACGTCGTAAAACACTCAAACCAATATAGACCCAAGGGGAAAACACGATGAGAAAAATTTCTTAGCTATCACACATTCAACAAAAAATTCGGGGAGTGCTTTCTTCCTTTTCTTCCCTACCCCTTTATGTGCTTACTTATACTTTATGACATTAAGGAAAATGTCGATTTTTAAGCTTAGGGGCGGAAAAAACTTTTAGTTTCTGTTTTTCGTATGTTTTGTATTTTTGTGTGTTTGTCTTAGTAAAAAAAGAAGAAGAAAATCGAAAAAATTTGAAGAATTTAAAAAAAAAAAATCTCTTTTAATTAGTTGTATGCTTGTGTGAGTTAAACAATTTAGTTAACAATAATGACTTATTTGAGATTTGGTGTTAATTTATAAACTGTGGATATGTTGCATGCTAGATTGATTGAAATTTAAACTTGCAAAACTTGATATTATACACGCACAAGAATTGAGTTTGACATGGTGATGAAATGAGATGTTTCGTGCTCTAAATAGGTTGATTTAGTTGGGCATAGATGTTTTACCTAAACCATACTAAATTAATTATCATTACACCGAATTTAGCACAGTTTGGGATGATGTTACTATTGTAGGTAGATGCAGACGTGAATGTGGATTTCTTGTATGAAAAAATTCTTTTTGTATGGATTGTCTGAGATGAACAGGATAAAATTGGGTGAAAGTCTTGAATTAGAGGTCAGTTTTCTTGAATAGATGTATGATAAGGGGCATTGCACTAATCAATGCATATATTTTAAAATTTAAAACTTCTCTTTGAAGTCTTTATGGCTCGAGCAATTAAACTTGCAAGGGTATCTTAAAATCTGTTACCCTAAAGTCGTATGACTTGGAAGTCAATGACTTGAAGCTCGCTACAGGGGTCATTTAGAAAGAAATCAAAGATAAAGTTGGCCTTGAAAGAAAAAAAATAATTATTCTCTTTGAAGCCTTTTTTACTCGGGTTACTAAGTTTGAAGGGTATCTTAAAATCTGGTGCCCTAAAGTCATCCGACTTGGCAGTCATCGGCCTAAAGCTCGCTACATGAGTCATCCAGAAAGCTTAAGGGGGAGTGCAAAAGAAAAAAAAAGAGAGAGAACAAAAAAATAATAAAAAATGCACTAAATGTCTTGTTAAGTTCTAACACTTGTTCGATGGAATTTGACTTTCGATAAAGGATAATTAGCCTAATTGAGTCTTGATGGTCGAAGCAATCAAATAATTGAAGAATCCTTATTCATTAATGTATTAACTTGCAACTAGTAACGTTCACCTGAATTGGAGAGAGTGAGGATAATAATGAAAAATTCAACCTTAGATTACAAAGTAGGAAAATAGTAAAAAAATAAGTTTGAGGGTGTGTGAATCTTACGAGAGATGAAAATGATATATTTGACCACAGAGGGTCGAGAATTGAAACAACTTGTGTATTCATGATTGATTACTTAATTCTTCATACATACGTCAATTTTGTATTGGCAAAGCGGACATTAATTTTGGTATTGCAATCTAGAAGCTGTTCATAGATTTAATATTATAATTTCATATCCCAAGATAAAAAGCTAGATTATCTTACCAAATATTTTGCATGTTTGTGTATTTGTTAAGTTAAGTTATAATTTTGTTTGAGGACAAACAAATGTTCAAGTTTGGGGGTGTTTAATAAGTGTATTTTATACACTTATGTAAACCTAAAAATATAGGCTTTTAATATTTCTTTAAAGTAATTATAGTCTAATTTATTGTATATTTCATTTATTAGATAAAACTCGATGGCTGGAAGTTAAATTAAAAGAAAGAAGCAAAAAACGACGAAAAATGACAAAATACAAAGTCGAGAACCAAATTGCAAATATCCAATGGTTGGACTGGACCATAAGAGATATTTTAAAAATTGATAGGAGTCAATTGGATGCAATTAGAAGTCAAAAAGGAATGGAATATCGTCAGAATATTACCATAAATCGACTTTCAATTACATGATATATCTTCCAGATTTTTAGTCAAGGATTGCGACCAATTTTTGGCATAGTAAACGTCCGAATTAGAAAATTTCTATCTCTAGGCTTTTCAACGCATTTGAATCAACTCAATCGGATATTAGGAAACGATGTTATGATCAAAATACCGATTACTGTGCAGAGACAAAAAATCGCGCGTGAGTGTAACTTTCCTTATTCGATTGGAACTCTTTTGAAAACTAATTTGGGCTTGATTTTTCACCAATTTTCAACCCCTACAGATACAAAACAAGAGAATACATGAATGGGGCTCTCATACATATCTCATATACATAATGTACTCTAATATTCATCAATTAGCATCATCAAATGAGGAGAATTCATTGTTTTTGTAAGAGAATTGAAGGGGACTTGCAAAAATTCAATCAAGTAAAGATTCAAACTTGGTATTGGACAAAGAAGCGAAAGCGCAAGTGGAGATTCATTAAAAAACAATTGAAAAAATTCAAGATTTTAAGATTTATCTTCATGTTCTCAATTTATTAAAAATCCGAGTTATGTCTTTCTGCTTATATATGATTTCTTATAATTTCAATATGTTAGACTAGTTTTATACATTGTTAGGATGAGATGAACCCTTATTATGATATTTTTAGCTTTTAATTAATTATTTTGACTTTAGTTTGATTTTATTTGTGGATATTTATTATGGTTTTTCTCGTTCTTTTTAATTGTTTGATCACCAATTGAATTGTTAGTGGATTTTATTATTATCAAGAGAGACAATAGGATTTTAGCACAATATAATAAACATTGTAAGGTTCGATAGAGGATAAAGATATACGTATATACTTTATATGGTTTCAATAGGTGTTCTAGTACTTATTAATACATTTTTTATGTTTGCATCTTTCATCGAGAGATAGGAGGATCACATGAGGGGAATAGATTTGATCGTTATCGAGAGAGACGTTCAATTAAATTAGGAACATTGACCAACATGAATGATTTCAAATTATCAATTTAATTGTTACACTAAAAATGGAATAACAACGGGGATTCTACATCTTAGCAATATCTCTTGCAAATTTGATAAATTTTCTTACATTGCTTTTAGATTAGTTGATAAATTTAATAGTTTTTAATTACAACTCGATTTTGCTATTCGATAAGGGTAGTGTTAGCTTTAACTTGATCAAACATATAGTTCTCGTGGGTTCGACACTCTACACACTACTTTATTACTTGTTCACGACCCCGTTCACTTACGGGTAATCAAATGATCAGAAAACTTGAGCCCAGGTCCCAGAAATGTGTTTTCATGGGATATCCTAAAAGAGTGAAGGGGTACAGGCTTTGGGCGAGAGAAATTGGGGGTTTTAAGATGATAACAGTAGGAATGTGACCTTCAATGAAAATGAGACGCCTTACTTAAGTAAAGAGGCCTCTAGAAAGGTGTCTAAGGGCCCAGGAAGATGAAAATATTAGGCTGCAGGTGGAACTTGAACTTTCACCTGATCATGTTGTTGAAAATCAAGATGAAAATGAAATTGTGGAAGAATCAGGAGATGAAACTGTTCAAGTGCCTACTGATGAATTAGTGAACCTCTTAAGTAATTATCAGTTAGTTAGAGATAGGGTTAGAAGAGAAATAAGAGAGCCTATTAAGATGCAATGCTATATGTCTCATGCTATGTTGTCTTATCAGGAATTAACCTTTAAGGACCCTAATTCCTATGAAGAGGCCATTAGTTGTTAGTTTTCCAAGGAATGTCAGCTTGTTATGGAGGAAGAAATAAGGTCTTTAGTGAAAAATAAGACCTGGAGCTTAGTCCTAAACTTGAAGATAAATCTATAGTTGATTGTAAGTGGTTTTATGCGGTAAAATAAAGCAATTCCCCAAATCAGCCCCTTAGATTTAAGGTCAAATTAGTAGCTAAGGGGTTTATCCAAAAACCTGGCATAGATTACAATGAAATCTTTTCTCCCGTTGTAAAATATACTACTATTAGAGTTATGCTTGCATTAGTTGCACAATATGATTATGAATTAGAGCAAATGGATGTTAAAATTGCGTTCTTGCATGGTGACCTTGATGAAGCCATACATATGAGACAGCCACAAAATTTTATTGATAACAGAAAATCTAATCATGTATGCCTGTTAAATAGATCTCTTTATGGCCTAAAACAATCTCCTAGGCAATGGTACAAACATTTTGATAACATTGTGTCTTCAGTTGACTTTGTGAGAAGTTCTTTTGACCATTGTTTGTATTTTAAAAAGAATAACAGCAACTATGTGAGTGTTTATTTGCTTTATATGTGGATAATATGTTACTAATTAGCCAGAAAATAAGTGATATAAATGAGATTAAAAAGATGCTAAGTACTGAATTTGAAATGAAGGATCTAGGGCATGCTAAAAGGATTTTAGGGATGGATATAAAAAGGAATAGGTCACATCAGTTATTAGTTTTGTCACAAACTGATTATGTGAAAAATGTGTTATCCAAGTTTGCTATGCATGATTCTAAATCTGTGACATTACCCCTTGCATGTCATTTTAAGTTGAGTAAAGATCAATGCCCACATAATGAACCTGACATTAAATATATGGAAAAAGTGCCATATTCAAATGCTGTTGGATCTGTAATGTACACCATGGTTTGTACATGACCCGATGTTGCACATGCCATAAGTACCTTAAGTAGATTTATGTCCAACCCTGTCCCGAACATTGGAATGCAATGAAATGGTTATTAAGGTACTTAAAAGGCTCAGCAGACTTAGGCTTACGTTTTATACCTAATAAGGAGGGAGTTAGATTAAAGGGATATGTAGATTCTGATTACGTCGGTGTTAGAGATAACATGAAGTAGACAACAGCCTATATGTTTACTTTATGTGACACTTGTATTAGTTGGAAGTCTCAATTGCAATCAATTGTAGCATTATCTACTACCGAGGCTGAATATGTAGTTGCAACCGAGGCCATTAAAGAGGCCTTGTGGCTGAAAGGTCTCCTAAATGAGGTAAATGAATCTGTTGATCTTGTTGTTCTATACTCGGATAGTCAAAGTGCCATACATTTATGTAAAAATTCAGTTTTTCATTAAAGAACTAAATACATAGATGTAAGATTACATTTCATAACAGATGTTGTACAAAAAGAATCTATTTTGCTTGAGAAAATCCCTACTCGGTTTAATCCCGCTGATATGGGTACTAAGATACTTCATCTAAATAAGTTTAAGTTATGTTTGCAACTTATAAGAATTGATACTGGGTAAATTTTGTGCTGATGCAGGTGTATTTTACTTGGTGCCAATGATCTTGGGGAAGTTATACCAATTGCTTGAGAAGGCTATTGTTATAATTTCGTTTTTTTCTTTGTGTGTCTTTTAGTCATTGGTGTTAAGGGGGAGATTTGTTGAGCTGTAATGCCATAATTAATTGGTGGTCCAGCCCACTTTGGGCTATGATGATAAATGGTTGGAAATTCAGATACTACAGGCCCTTGCCCAATAACGCATTGAGTTAGACTCCTTATAACCTGGCCCAAAACTTTGGTAATACACGTGTGTCGCTCTAGTCCATTAGATTTCCTAACCCTATGATCTACGGTGATGACCTTGCCTATATATATATATTCTTGGTCTGAGACATTGGCCCTAATTTTTTCTCTTATTCTCTCGCCTCTTTGTGTGCTTCTTTGAGAAGCTTCTGGGTCTCTCTCATTCGAGTGACTATGTGTCTCCCTTTTCATCTTCTTCGTGAAATTTGTTCTTTGGCCATAAAACTTCTGATTTTCTGGCAGATTTTTGTGAGTGAGAAATCTTGGCGATCCTTCGTTTTCGAACTAGAAAGGGTTTTCTATTGGATTGGGAGTTTTTGGGACTGTTGAAGTGACAGGCTCTGTATTCCTTAGTTTAGGGCTGATTCTTGTGAGATTCAACCTTTGTATAGACGGGTACAAGGAGTAATCTGAGCCCAATTGATGAGAACTCGATGCTTTTGTGTGAAATCTTGGTTTTGCAATTTTGAATTGAACTTGAATCATTATTGTAACAATAAAATTAGTCAAACGAATTCAAAAATAACTTTTTAATTTCAAAAACTTCTTTTGAATTTTTCACGGACTCTCAAGCCTCAATCTATTATTAAACTTACTCTCATTCCTCAACCCACGGACTCCTACAAGTGGAAACAACATTCATTCCGTTTGTTAATGACAAAAAGAAAATAATGTGGCATCTTCTACCAACTTCTGTAGATCGGAACCAACGTCGGAATTTTGGAAATGTAGTGAGAAAATTTCAAATCTTTATTTTTATCTTTTTGGGTAATAACATAACATGAATGACAATGCATTACTAGATGAAGTCAGTGTATTGAGGAGGAATAAGAAATTAATAAATGATTAAGTCGTGCATAGCATGCTGAAAAAAGGAGAACTAATAAAGTTTTGGGAACAGCCAAAAAAAAAAAAGAAAAAAGAAAATGATATGTTTAGAAGAAATCTTGGTTTGGATTAAAATCTGTGGGACTTCTCCTCTCTTTCATGAATTGTATAGAATAACCCGTGGAAAGAAAGTCCCGAAAACCAGGACGATGTGAGGCCATCCAAAAGAATGGATGAGTTCACTTAAGGATGACAAACGGACCGCTCGGGTCATTAAAGCTTGGCTCATGGGTGGCTCGAGCTCGTCATATAAACTGAGCAAGAGTCGAATCCAAAAAGTCAAGCAAGGCTCAGCTAGTTGAGCTTCTGGGTACACCAAAAGTTAGCTTGTGAGCTCATAAAAAATGTGAAGAAAAATTTGAAAAAAAAAGGAAAAAAAAGGACAAGCTCGTGGGCAGCTCGTTCCTCGAGCACGAGTCAAGCTCATATGTTTAAGGGTCGTGCCTTGCCATCTCTATTGGTCTACTGAGTTTTAGATCGTTTTGAATGAAGTATCCGTATCAATTTGAACAAGTTTACCAAGAGGGAATTGCGAGACGTTACTAAGCAAAATCTAATTTTAATCCCCACTTAAACCACTATGCCCCGTTTGGCCCCATTTAACTTAAAAGAAAAACTGTTCAATTTGGTTCGAAAGTTTTACCCAACCCTAATGATACATGATTAATTCCCAAAATTCTTAAACAACTATCAATTGATTATTGCACAACAAATCTTGAATTCTTTTTCTCTGCCGCTGTTGCCGTCCCCACTTAAACCACTATGCCCCGTTTGGCCCCATCTTTCAAATTAAATATGGGTTGAATAATATTTTTTTGATAAATGAACAGTCAAAAAAAAATTGACACGTAACATTATTTTATGAAAAATTCTGTGATTAAAAACAGGAAAGAAAAAAATAAAATTTAATTTTATGGGGGTAGACGGGGAATTACTCTCAAGGGTCTACCGATCCATACTTACTATAATTGAGCTAAAGAGTTAACTACTTTATTGGGCTTCAAGGTTGTCAAAAGGCTTTCCTTTAGCTCCTTCATGACTAAACTAATATAAAAGGGCAGGGAGCGCTAACGAGCAAGAAACCGGATGCACTAACGTGCCTGAGTTTTAACCACAAAAAAATGTTGAGAAAAACATGAAAATCTATAGGGGTTTTAACTCTTGCAGCAAATAACGTACTACTGAGTTTTAACCACAAAAATTTGCACATATCGCTTCAAATATTATGACAAATAGAAATACCTTTGTTTTTAACATTAGAAATCACACCATCATGTTAACATTCAGAAACAATTTATTTTTAATAAAAATATTTATTACCAAATAGTAGTACAAACATGAAAAAGCACACGCATTCCGCCTGTCCATGAAAAACAGAGGCATGCCTTATTACACAACATTAACATAAAACATCAGACATCTAGACTTTAGTGGTGACCAGGCATTTTCTCCTTAATCTTTCCCATCACCCCCTTTTTTTCCTGATGCTGTCCTCCTTCACTATATCCGTACCCTGTAGTCGTTGAAGTGTCGTAAGTTCCTTCATCCTTGTGACCGCCGGGCAACCTCTCCTTTATCTTTTCTTTCAGCCCCTTCTTTCTCCTCCCTCCCATCCCATCATCCTCCGAAGACTGCACATAAATAAGAGGTAAACAATTCATCAGATAATATTTGATATCTCGTAACTGTATTCTGAATTTGTAGAGAACCTGCAGATATATATGACAAATTTGTTTAAAGGGTTTTTACCGAGCTGCTGGAGCTTCCAGAGCGCCGGTGTTGCCCAGTTAGGCCTGCTCCGGTAGTGCCCGGAACATTTCCACCATGAGTTCCATACGCCCCGGTTGTGCCGGTGGTTCCATAGCCAGCACCTCCATCTCCATGAGCTCCTGTGGTTCCATAGCCAGTAGTTCCATGTGCGCCAGTAGTGCCGTACTCCCCCATTGTACCCCCAGTATGGTGAACAGGGTTGCCGTATTCATCAGTCTGGCGGATAGGATTGCCGTATTCATCAGTCTGGCGGATAGGATTGCCATATTCATCTGTCTGACGAATTTCTCTGCCGTATTCGTCCTTGTACTGGGCCATTTCTTTTTCTTAATTTGCAACTCTAAAATCAAACACAACACTGTCGACTATTTTCAATAGCAACTCAACTAGCTCTTCTAACTTATGATTTTGTGCAGTATGCGACGGATCAGATTTGAGTTTATATAGAAGAGAAAAGGTTGTTGACTCAAATGGCAATGGCAGGAGAGGCTTACAAGTGTTGCATGAAGTAATTCAACCGACACGTTAGGGCAAATTGTAATTTAGCGTGGCAAAGTCCTATAACGACGTGTGTTTCTGTCGGCAATATGGATAAGATAAACAAATTGAAGGTTTAAAAATCATAATTTTAGTAATTTTTTTAGTTGAGTCAAATATGAGCTTTTTAATGTGTGGATGAAAATTTAAGATTACTGTGACATGTCGACTAGTATCATTGTTTGTATTCGACGTCTCTCCTTCGTCGGTTGAATCATCAACGTCAACAATTTTACCTTTTATATGCGATATGGATGGATTGATTCAACGTCAACAATTTTATCTTTTATTATGCGATATGGATGAAACTGAGTTTATAAGGTTAAATCCTTGACTTTAGCTTTGTTGCTGTTGTGCTGCTTTCACGAAAATTAATTTTGACTGTATTGAAGAAAAATCAACTTCAGGAAAAACCAGCTAGGTGTTTGATATACATTCGTTTCATAATTGAGGTAAGCAAGTCTCAACATCGTTTTGTAAACTAAAAAAACTTTATTACTATGCATGTATATAGTGTATTAAATCCTGTTTGGTACCGATTAAAATTTAAATTTTAATCTAAGTTAAAGTCAACAATTAATTTTAACCATATATTTTTTGGGTTCGACAACTTTTTAACATTATATTTCATCAACTTTTATCAAAATCTACTAAAAATCTAATTTTAATACCCAACAACCAAGGCTAAGTAAGGGAAGTCGCTCAACTTTTGATCTTTTCAAAAACGAATCAATAGCTCCCTTTTTAGGTTAAAAAAAAATAAAAATAGTAAGATTCTTAATTTTTGCTTATTATAATACTTATGTTCATAACAAATTTTTATGTCATTTTTATTGTCAAACTATTCATTAGTTAACACATTTTATATTTGATAACTTTTTATGTTCCAAAGTCCATTGAAATGTCATAAAATAACTTAAATTCCCATCATATTTTTAAAAAAATAAATAAATGAAAAGTGCGAATAAATATTTTTCCCTCATTTCAAAGCATGAAAATAAAATATCTGTATATAAATCATTATCAAAGAGGTGACGTACTAATTAATGAAAGTTGAAGATAAAAAATCAACGAAAAATGTTAAGAAAATAATTATTACATTGAGTAAAGATTAAAAAGTTTTACTACAATTAAAATGTGCTGTATCAATTAAAAATTGTGATGACAATATAGCCACCCTTTCAAAAATTGTCAAATTCTTGACTTTCGGTCAATTAATGATTTTTTGGACGAAAATCGTCCAAAAGTCCTACGGCATATTTTTGAAAGATGAGAATACATTTGCTATTATTTAAAGGTTTGAAACTGCACTACAATTTTTATTTATTATTATTATTATTTTTTGGGGAAGATTGATAACGTCCGCTGCAAATTTCCCAAAAAATAATGATAGTTGTCTCTTGCTAAGTTAAACCAGACATCTACACTAGCAATCTAGAATTACAAATAATCTTAATTTACCAATAATTCATGTATTAGATAAATTACATTACGAACATGCTATAAAAAGTTCAAATCTCACCAGAAAGGGAACAAGTTAAACAAAGAATTTGAAAAAAATATGTAAAATGCTGTAATTTCAACACTCATAATTTATCTAAACCTTTAAAATATACACACTGTGTGTGTTAGTACACATATTTGGGCTTCTAAGCTTGATTATTTATTTTTAATCGAGTGCATATGTACCTACGTTAGGGTAAATTATGTTAGTTGTGGGAAAATTTCCAACTTGAGTACAGTTGATCGATGTGAAGAAAGGATCCTGGTACAAATAAGAGGGAACTCGAGATGTTCCAAACCAAGTTTTAACATATATCAAAAGATTGTGCCTCGCAATCGCAAGTGAAACTGGCTACAATTGCAAGGTTAACATATTCCTCACAACAAGACAAACGGGAATTTAGGATGCGTTTGATTACAAGCATGAAATTTATATGCAAAGAACTAGGCAATTGAATTACCTATAACTTATCTGCATAGAAATTGTCGATTAAATGTGTTTAATTGATTTAATTTTCAACTTAGAAAATATTTTACTTGTCGATTTTTTATTGTGGGTAAATGAGAGAGGGTGGATAAATGAAAAAGAGAGCGAGTGAGTGAATTCCATAGAAAATATAATCTCACTCCCCTTAAAGAAAATATTTTCCTTAATTTTAAAGAAAATATGATCACGTGACCAAAAGTAGAAAAATACTTTCCAGGGAAGAAATGTAAAATCAAACAATATAAAAATAGGAATTTTGGTGAAAAAAACATATTTTCCATGAAAAACATTAACAATCAAATACAACCTTAATTCTATCTAGGAGAGATCATTAAATTTGGTCATCGCTTGATACAAACTCAAATTCAAATTTTAATTCAAATCAAAGCCAGCAATTAATTTTAATAACACATTTTACTGACATTTCATCAACTTTTATCAAAAATCTATTAAAATCTGATTCTAATTACAAAAACGAAAACTTAATTCTATCTAGGAGAGATAATTAAGTCCATGTTTGGTGGGATTAAAATTAAATTTTTAGTAGATTTTGATTGAAGTTTTTGAAATGTGTAATTGAACGTTTGTGGAACCTGTTGGAATAATTAATAATTCCATATGTGGGCTTCACATTCGATTGCAAAATTTTACGGGTTAGATATATGGCTTATAATGATATTTGTGTTTGGGCCAAATTTATTAAGTGATCAATTAGGTCTTTTACACCTTACGAGTTGTAATTAATTTTATGTGGTAGTTTAAAGTATGTGGGCCGGAAATAAACCCTAATTAGAATTCTAGTCGTAATGGGACGGCTCAAATTATTTCCTATATATAAAGGCTATGTCCCCTCTCCTCTTCATATATGTTTCATTAGCTTGCTCCATTGATAACTAATATTTTTGTGAGGAGCAAGGAGGGGAAGATCTTGGCTACTATTACAACTATAATTCATATCAACAATGACTTCCACATGTATGAATTCGATTTATCAATTTATTATTTTGTGATTCTTGATTCTTAAATGATTATAAATAAATATTAACAATTGGTATCAGAGCCTTCATATTAAGATCAGAATCCCTAATGAAAATAATATTGTCACTTTTTTTTTGTGTTTTTTAAATTGAAAAAACTGAAAGAACTCGAAAGCGAATTTATAGAGACTGCGATTTGCTTAAAATCAACTTTTATACATGGCGAAATATCTAGGGCTGGACAAAACTCCCGAACCGAACCGATCGAATCGAACCCGAACCGAACCCGACGGTTCTTCTCAAGTTAAATACCCGAACGGGTATTTGAATCAAGAACCGACGGGTATGGTTCGGTTCTCGGTTCTAGGCCAAGACCCGAAGAACCGAATAAAAACCGAATCTCCGTAATTTTTTAAATTAATTTATTTTAAATAAGTAAAATTATTTTATTTTTTCTAAATAAATTTATTAACTAGTTAATTTAGTTCAAACCACAAAATATGATTTCCTATTTCTAATATTCAGTTCAAAATCGACTTAATCAAATTGACCTCAATTTTATCCAAATCTGTTTTTCTACTGTAGTGTCATTTCTACCGGAGAAAATCGAATTAAAGCTCTACAACATCTCTCTTAATTATTTTGCGCTCGCTATCTTTCTTTTTCTGTAATTTTAATAATCAAATTTATGAAGAATTCAGCAAAGAGAGACGTGAAACACATAAAATTGAACTACGTTATTTTGTAAAAGCTAATATTAAATATATCATTAATTAAATTAACGTAACTTTGTATATATTAAAAAAATTAATTATAATACGGAACTGAATGGAACCGAACCGGACCGAACCGAACCGAACCGAATGGAACCGAACCCGAACGGTTCTGCAATTAAATTTGGACCCGACGGTTCCACTTACTAAATACCCGAAAATTTCGGGTTGGTTCGGTTCTCGTTAGAACCGAACCGAATCGGACCATGTCCAGCCCTAGAAATATCCACCTCCTCAAATTGTTAATGGCAAATAATTTAATGCAGACAGAAAGAGAGCAAACAAAAGTTCCCTTTTTTCGAGAACCGAACCGAACCGGACCATGTCCAGCCCTAGAAATATCCACCTCCTCAAATTGTTAATGGCAAATAATTTAATGCAGACAGAAAGAGAGCAAACAAAAGTTCCCTTTTTTCTTCTCCACTTGTTTTCTCTCATTCAGGCACAAAAAAAAATAATACGAGTTCTTTCAGTTTCAATCTATCCCTACCATTTGAGATATGGAGCTGGGGTTAAGCTTAGGAGATTCATCAAAAGATTCAAAACCATTTAAATTCTCGACAAAGAATAGTAATTCAGAGCATCACGGTACTATATTTGGCCGTGTGTATTATATTTGGGGACGGGGGCTCCTGTAGTAAATAGCTTATTTCCAAGCCCCTGTTTGCAATTACAGATTGAGGGTTAGGTTTTATAAATTAAATATTGAACGACCTGATTTTAATTTTTTATTTGGGTTAAAATGTAATTTTCAATAAGGGGTTCTTAATTTGAACTTTTAAAGTTTTGACCCTAAAATTTTAATTTTTAACCCGGTTAAAAATTTTATTTAATAATTGACTCGATTGAAATATATTAAATAATAATAATAATAATAATTTAATTGACGACTTTTGTATTATTTCATTCAAATGATTATGTATTTAAATATTGCCATTATTTGTGCGTTTAAATCTCAATTTTTATATATATTGAAATATTGAATTTTGTTGCCCGTTTTGTTTCCAAATCACATATAAATTTTGCCGTTTATCGATTAATGATTATGACTTGTTCCATGATTATTATTTTGTGATTAAATTTTTCTATGGGCCTTGCGACGATTCTTGTTTTCCCACTAAGAGAAATATTTTGAAATAAAAATAGGTGGTAGCTGCCAAAGTGGCACACTCATTATTATT